AGACGTCGGAATGACACCCACTGGATTCGACAACGATCGCGTAGTTGCGGTAGTCACGGAGTTGTAAGACCGACCGGGACTAGTATAATGTCTGTGGTGAAACGGTGTATTCACGTAACTTTCTAAAAATAGAAATACCAGATGGCCACTTTAATGAATGATTCTAAAAGAACTAAATGAACCTTGGTCAAGATTAAAATCAATCGTAAATATGAATTCATTCGAGTGATTAACCTGTTTCTGTTGAAAATTGACGAGCAGGTACAGATCAATTTCAAACAGTACTGCACAATTTCCGGAATTCAGAAAAATAAGTTTCTAAAAAGGATTGAGTATTACTTACGCGGTGTGGTTGAGGTAGCAGCGCTAGTAGTCATGGGTGCGACGAGTGCGTTTAATTGGGGCAATACGTCTTGGGCCAGCACCGCCTCTGAGAACGCAGTGAAAAAAGAACGCGCAACACCGCTGCCTTCGCCTGGTTCATCTTTGAAGGTAACCTTAACTCGATGACAAGAGAGAACCGCCGGCTGATTTAGAGTCAACGGTCCAGAGGGTGCGAATGGAGTAGTCGGTGCAGGACTTGCTCCGAACAAGGTGCCAAGCAATGGTGAGTCTGTGGTTGTTCCAAGTAGAAAGGCTACAGCAATTGGAGCGTTGCTAGAGGTGTTAGAACGCAGAGCGTTAGGCGCAGAGGTGGAGTGTTGACTGAGCGGATTGTAGCTGACTGAATATCGTCCAATGCCGGTTGATGGTGTGTTGGGTGCGCCAGAGGTTGTTGGTTGATTTCCTGTTGCAGACTGGCGTTTGACATATTCCGCGCTCAGCTGACGAACAGTACCCAAAATCAACGACGCATGTTCACGTTCCACCTGACGCAGGTCATTTCGGAAAGGATAAAAAGGGTAGGTCCAGCAGCTTTGTTTATTTACGGAAGTGGAATTACGAGGATGAACATTACGGAAATGTATTGTTTGAGTCTAATGATTGAAAAGCGATATCTGAAGTTAAATGCAATTAAAATTTTTGTCAATATTGAGTATGTTGGCTGTTATCAAGAGGAAACTAACCTCCAAGGTTAGATCACGGCGTTCACCATTCCGAAGACGCTCCATATGTTTACGAAAGCGCGCTTCCTTGACCGTGAAGCCACCTAGTTCCAGTATGTAGCTGCTATGTTCTGCTCCCACATCGTCGGAGAAGTGCCGACCGAAGAGTTCCAGCGACAAACACCAGCGAGACAACAGGGTAGCAGAATGACCAATCGAATCCAAAAATCCAGCTCCGGTAAGCACTAGAAGAGTGAAATGTGCGCGAATGGATGAGTGATGAATGAGATGACATGCAGTAAAAGATATTTAAATTGACCGATACTTACACTGACGTCCTTTAAGGTGCGTAACATGCGACAAGGACATTCTCTCTTCTACGGCATCGGTGGAACATTTCTCATCTGAGGTGAACGCCCTGTTGGACCCTTCCAAAACACGCTCAGCCCAAGCACTGGATCCACTGTTAAGTTGCAGAGGCCAACCCAGAGGAGAAAAATCGTTGGAAGAAATACCATCCATATCCCCGGGAAGGAATCTGATGAACAAAAATATCAAATAAACAAGTCAGTAAAATTATCGTTCACCATTAAGCCCAAGCTAAGCGAGTGTTCACACAGGATGAGTATTTATGATCAAGTCAATGAACAAACACACAACTGTTCATATCCAACGCGGTTTGCCGGTGCTGGTACGTGAATTTTACCATTAAACATAGTTGTATAAATGGTCTATCGGTTGCCTGAGGTCTCGTCAAACGATCTATACACTAATCTCAAATACCCGGAAAAAGTAGGGAAACAAAGGTTCTTTATTTACAAATACCGTTTAAATTATGCGTCGATGATGAAAGGTTCACAGGAATAAGTTGACCACAGATGAAAACTTATGTGGAAATAAACTTAACGATAGCGTTCCAAGTATTACAAAAGCTCTATCTGTATTTATTTCAACAGAAAAAGCTTGAAAACGTATGAGGGTGAAGCCAAAAGTGTTGAAAGTTAGCGAAAGCTGCTCT